AAAGGTGTGTTTTGTTGCTCTAAAATTTTTAATTTCTTCAGAATGCCTTGCTTTCCCCTAGTATCAGTGCTAGTATTGGCAATATTTGCCCAATATTTACTTAAGTATCAATACCAAAATTTGCCGTATGGCTCAGCAGTAACAGAAGTAACATATGCTGCATCTCAAGCTTCAGGTAGTTTCATTTTGGGGATTGTTTTTGGAGCTGATTAATGATTGGGTCTACAAACTGTGTTATAGTGTTTAAAACAGCCTTGTGCAGACTAAATAATCATAGTTTGTTTCATTTATGCAATAATTATATTCCAATTTATCCGATAGTGGGAAAATTACTGCTGTAAAGACAAATCAGACAAGCAGATAAACTCTGTACATTTGCGATTTAAAAGGCAGAAATTAGAACTTTATTTCCATCATGCCAAAAAACCCCGAATTTCTCTTTTGTTTAACAGCAGCTATTCCATCCTGCTCAAACATCTTCACTTTCAGTTGTCGATTCAAGTTCTTTGAGGAAATGTGATGTGTGGTATTTCTCTTTGTTTTGACTCAGACATCCTGTGTGCTGATTTTGCAGGTTGGTTTAAGGGTGAAAAACTAAGGTGCACGTTTCTGCATCAGCAGTATGTGTACTGTAACCAAATGTGCGGCGAAGACTTTAAGGCTTTTCTTTGCGTTTTTGGATGGCTGACCTGAAGAAACACAGCAGATTTTCCAGCATTTTATGGAGGAAAGTCTTAGAAAAATAGATGGAAACATTACTGTAATGCTGTAATATTCTCTGTTTTTGTTTCCCAGGCAGGAAGCGATGGTCAGAGCATCGGCAACTGTCCTTTCTCTCAGCGTCTCTTTATGGTGCTGTGGCTTAAGGGAGTCACCTTTGACGTTACCACAGTGGATATGAAGAGGTGAAAGCACTCGTCCTTCACGCTCTGTATGGCCACTTTTGTTTATTCTGTCTCTCTCACTAATGCTGGCGCAACAAGGGAACATTCGCCTACACTTTTAATGTTTTAATGGCCCCAAGTGAAGCTGGCACTGGAAAAGCCTGGGGTATTTCATTCATTCATTAAAAGATAAAAAGCTGCCACGCTTTGATTTTAGGTGAAAGTTGGACACATTGTAGCTGCTCATATGGGTAATTTCCTGCGGTTGGAAATCTTTCCACTCCTTTTTTTTTCCCTTTTTTGTCTTTCTCTGTTCTGACTCACTCTCTACTCCATCTGTCTTCTTTTTCCGTGCCGCTTTCAGGAAGCCAGACATCTTGAAGGACCTGGCACCGGGTGCGCAGCCTCCCTTCCTGTTATACGGCAACGAGGTGAAAACTGACACCAACAAGATTGAGGAGTTCCTGGAAGAGCATCTCTGCCCTCCAAAGTAATCTTTCCCTTCATCTCTGAAGTGCTGATACAGATAACACAAACTGTCTTGTTTGATCTGATAATGATCTGAATATTGCAACTTTGTTGGGCACAAAGAGATACCGCACTTAAAGGATGTCTCTGGAGGCTTTGAGCACAGATTGATTGTTTTGAATTTTGCAGGAAAAAGGCAACATTTTATAAGAAAGTCAAAAAAGTAGGCCCTGCACGCCAACTCCAAACCACAAGATTTAAATCTGAATCTTTGTGAGATTAAACTATCTAATTCTACATTTTTGCAGGTGTTTCCGTTGTAGATACAGCAATGAATAGACTAATGATAACAAAATAAACCGTTGGCTGCAAATGCATTTGTTGACTTCTTGCACATTAATACGAATCGCTTGAAGATTTATATCTTGATGTGATCTATGATGTGACTGGACATCTAGGTATCCTCGTCTGGCTGCTCGTAACCCAGAGTCCAACACGGCAGGCCTGGACGTCTTCTCCAAGTTCTCTGCCTACGTCAAGAACTCAAACCCTCAGACCAATGAAAGTAAGTGGGCTCCACTCAGACTTATGGTGCAATAAAGTAAATGTTAGAGTAGTGCCTGGTTTAATTTCCAGCATCAAATCGTGCTGAGCTGCTTCTGTCAGTTCCCTGATGGGCTGAAAATCAGCAGGGAGCCTCTGTTAATAACATTAGGCTCTGAGTGTAAACACGTCACCTGCTGATGTTTGTGTGCAGCTTTTCCTACCTCGTCTCTGCTGCTGGTTTAAATATATCTATATCAGGACACCTCTCTTTATACTTAATGCTTGAGTGTTTTCTGTGTGTGCCCATGTGCTCAGATCTAGAGAAAGGCCTCCTGAAGGCTCTGAAGAAGCTAGACGACTACCTCGGCTCTCCACTTCCTGATGAGATTGACGAGAATAGCGCCGATGAGCTCACTTCCTCGTCACGCCCTTTCCTGGATGGCCAGGTGCTCACTCTGGCTGATTGCAACCTGCTGCCTAAGCTCCACATCGTGAAGGTGATCTTGTGATTTTTAAAGCAGTGCAGCATGAGGATGATGGGTTATAAGAATGAGTCAATGCTTTGCTTTGTTTTTTTGTAATTATGCCTATTTTTTTCCGCCCTCTATCTCCGCAGGTGGTGTGCTTGAAATACAGAAACTTCACCATCCCTCAGAGTCTGACAAACCTCTGGAGGTACCTGAACGCCGCCTATGCAAGGGAGGAGTTCTCTTCCACCTGCCCGGTTGACGAGGAGATCTACTTTGCCTACTCCTCTGTAGCTAAAGCTCTCAAGTAGGGATAGAACAGGGGGTTACATGTTCTGAATATACCAGCAGAGCAACATAGGAAAGCACAAAATACACACACACACACACACACACATGAATATTCACTCTGCAAGCAGCATGGTCGATGCTTTTCTTTGTAAACTGGAGCGCTGCAGCAATCTTTTGTTACGCCTGCAGGCTAATTTCTTGCACCCTTATACGCCAGTATCACCTTTCGCAGAGTTGGCGCTAGTTTACATTGTTTTTTCCCACCTGAAACTGGGTCGGTTTACATCAGCAAAGGGAAACGAGGAAGCTCGGGAAAGCGCAAGTGAAAGCAATTACATGCAAGAAAACTTTTAACCCCGTTAAACTTCCTCCTCCGATGGGTTCTTTCACGTGTCACGTTCTCCGGTTGCCGACCACGTTGCTCGCAGGAGCGCACATCCACATCGTCATCGCACTCTTCTAACTACAGCCCTGCTTATGTACAGTTTCACCATGAGCAGATACACACTGACGCTTCTTGTTCCTTTCTTCTTCAAGACAGTTGCTACAGTATGTTTTGGGTTTTTTGTTGTTTTTCCTGGTAGTAATTTCAACAGACACAAAGCTGCCTGACAGATCAAACTTTTCATATGTAACGTTGCAGGCTTCCCCCAGGCAGATTCAGCTCTCGTTTCTCTGGTTAAGGAAGTGAAATTTGCATATCAGCTCCAGATCACCTGCCAAAGAGTCTTTTGTACTGAGCCTTTCACGTGGACTTTATTTCGTTACTGAGGGTACAAGGCCTTTTTACAGTACAAAATCTTTTTTATCCTTTAATTAAAAGCCAAGTTTTGTCTAAGTGTTAGATTGCTTATTCTTTGTAGTGCACCTCAGAGAGGAAAGGGGTGCATACCGGGTCTCGCTGAAGAGCTGAAAACAGTTACAGAGACAGGAAACTGTTTCAATAGAGGCGGGCTTCCCCTTTCTGTGCTCCCACACAGCAGGCGTGAAGGATTATTTAAGATTACCAAGCATCTATGTGATCCGCTGTGAGGGCCCATTGCCAGTAATTTATTCAGTGCTGCCCAGTGGGTATTGAAGGAGGCGCTGGATGAAGCGTATTTGTGTTTCTCACTGTCAGTTACTCCCATGAAAA